CTTCAAACTGACACTTCCCAAGAAGGCTTTGTACATTGACATTTCCATCACAAGGGCAAGTGCCGGACACATGTCCTGTGTAAGAGCATTCTCTCTCTCTCTCTCTCTCTCTCTCTCTCTCTCTCTCTCTCTCTCTTTCTTTTCCAGTGCTCAAGATTGAACCCAGGGCCTTGTGCATGTAGGCAAGTGCTCTACCACTGAGCTATCCCCCAGACATTCGTAAAGGTTTTCTAACATTACTTCTGACAACCCCCACAGTGAGTCCTAAGAGGAGGTTATGCTAACTCYGATTTGCTCAATGGAAACTTTAGGCCCAGATGGCATGCAGCTGGAGAGTAGCAAGGAGGGGGACTCTGCCCACCTCCAAGATCTTCATGTTTTCCACTCCATTAAGTGACAAGAGAAGAGAGGGAGGAGATGCAGTTATGTGAGTTCCAGAAAATCCAGCATGGCTTCTGGGAAGTCCCAGAAAGATATGTGACTTTCCAGATATGGTGAGAAATACACAGGGACAGGGGAGTTGGTCCTCAGAGAACCTGTCCATTTTATAGCGTTCCAGGGACCTTCTTCCTGTTTCTTCAACCTCAGGCCTCAGTTTGCTCTCAGCTTCCTGCTGTCTTACTTGCACTAAGTCCTCTGCAGTCTTCTTACCATGAGGCTGGTCTATGTGCCATTCTCACCCACCCTTAAAGGGTAGCTGGACTGGTGTTTCCCCAAGTGTATTCAACAGCATGGCTCTAGGGGTTAAGATAGAAAGATGTGCTGGGCTTGGTGGTGCACATCTGTAATCCCAGCAGCTTGGGAGGCTGAGGCAGGAGGATGACGACTTCAAAGCCAACCTCAGCAAAAGTGAGGCGCTAAGAACTCAGTGAGACCCTGTCTCTAAACAAAATACAAAATAGGGCTGGGAATCTGATCAATCCTTGGAACCTCCCCCGACTCCTCCCCACCAATAAAGATAGAAAAATACATTGTTAAATTTGAGCAGCTCTGGGAAGTTCTTCTCTACTATCTCCTACAGTGAATAAAGATAATATTGCCAATGACAGATTTATTCAACTGCTGAGAAAACAATAGCAACTTGCTAGGTAAGGTGATGCTTTGGCAGGCTTGGGGACATGAATGAGGGGAACTGAACCCAGACACACACATTTTAGTGGTGTTTCCATCACCTCTCTTTTTCACATTCTTCCCATACATGCCAGGGTGGTAGCATTGAGGCACACTTAGGAGGCTGCCAGAGGCTGCCTTGGTACTGGAGCCCAGGAAGGGGGAAGGAATTGGAGACACCAAGTCCATGGGCTCTCACGTGGGGCTTCAGCTGAGCCTGGCTCAGTTTTTTTCCCAGAGAGGTCATTTGATCTGCTTTGAAAGGAATTCCAAAGAATATGAGTAAAGACCTCACCAGGAAGGACCGACATCCTAATTAATGGGTGGGAGTAAATGTTTCTAAGAAAAACCTGGCACAGAATCTTCCTTGTGCATTGACTATGGATGATAATGTTGATTTAAAAATCCAAACATTTGTTGCTGGACACTACGTGTTTACCTTGCAGAGCAACCGTSAAGAAGGTGGATGTCTCCTTTTACAAATAAGGAAAGAGAGTAGAAGTCAAGTACCTTGTCCAAGGTTATCATGTGGTGAGAAGTGGATGTGGGATTTGAGACCAGGTCTTCTCAATTCCATGACAGGCTTCCTGTTAGACCACAGTTACCTTACCCTTATGTGGCATTTAAAATAATTTCAAAGGACTTTCACTTACATTGCCTTCTGCAAAGTTCATGACAAACCAGAGATAGGAAAGGGTTGACGGATTGGAACACAGGCTTAATGTGTTAAATCATGGCCAAAGTTACCCAGCCTGAGTCCAACCTACTATTCCAGTTGCTTTCTTTCCCTCCACTCATGCTCAGCTTCCTTTCCTACTATCCTTAGGGTTACAAAGTCATCTTGAGAGCAGCCAGGGCCCAGCATAACTTATTTCTTCCATGTCCCCAGGCAGAGTACCACCAGTAGCTAATCTCACGTATTTACTGTGTCAAGTTCTTTACTAGCATTTTATTTTTATATTTATTTAACTTGTTTAATGTTCACTACAATCAGGAAGTACCTATTATTATTAGCCCCATTTTACAGTTGATAAAACTGGACACATAAAAGTTAAGAAAACTTGTCGAAGGTCAAAGAGCTGGTAAGTGGTGAGCAGGATCCAACCAGGTGGACAGGTCACAGGCAAGCTGCAGACCAGAGAACTGAGAATAAGCTCCTGAGCACTTGAAACTCCTTGACTCCATTCCTTCACAGTTCTCAGTTCTTCAATCCTCTGCTTAGCCTGGCTTGTCCGGGAACCATCACAGAGGGACTGATCCTAGCTACTATCTTGACTGGAATTCTGAAGATAGACAGCCATCTGTTGTGTGGGGAGTCTAGAATTGGAGGCTCCCTCTTACTCTTGTCATGCTGTGTGAAATCTCACATCGACTCAGCAAGTGGAGTTTGCTCTTGCCATGTGTGGTGGGGCTGGGCATAGAGGGTGTGGCATGGGGATGGGGGACGGCTGAGCTCCCAGAAGTCAGAAGAACTGTGTGCGAGTTCTTCCATCAAGGGTCCTCCATCTCCCACTCCCTGTCCCAGAGGGGACATCTATGGTCTAGACAAGGGCTTTCCAACTTCCTGGATCCTAAGGATTATCCAGAGGGTTTGTTAAGAAATACAGACCTGGGCTGGGGTTGTAGTGCACTGGTGGAGTGCTTGCCTAGCACAAGTGAGGCATCACATAAAAATAAATAAACTAATTAAATAAAGGTATTGTGTCCATCTACAACTAAAAAGTATATATATATTAAAAATTATATATATAAATTATATGTATAAATTTTACATAAGTATACATACATATATGTGTGTGTGTGTGTGTGTGTGTGTATAGTGCAAATAAAGAGCTTGGTGGAGGGGTCTGTATTTCTTTATATATATAGAACAGAAAAAAAATATATACACACACACACACACATATAATACATAATACATGGGCTGGGGATGTGGCTCAAGCGGTAGCACGCTCTCCTGGCATGTATGTGGCCTGGGTTCGATCCTCAGCACCACATACAAACAATGATGTTGTGTCCGCCAATAACTAAAAAATAAATATTAAAAACATTCTCTCTCTCTCTTTTTTTTTATTTTTTTATTTTTTTTTAATTTTTTTAATTTTTTTTATTTTTTAGTTCTCGGCGGACACAACATCTTTGTTGGTATGTGGTGCTGAGGATCGAACCCGGGTCGCACGCATGCCAGGCGAGCACGCTACCGCTTGAGCCACATCCCCAGCCCTCTCTCTCTCTCTTAAAAAACATTGTCTCTCATTTTATAAATGTATGTATATATGTGTGTGTGTGTATATATATATATGTATATAAATATATGCATGTATGTATATGTGTATATATAAAGAAATACAGACCCCTTCACCAAGCTTTTTATTTGCAGATTTTCATTCATGAGATTGGGCCAGGAAGTTGGCCTAGATTTTCTTTTCTTTTTTTGGGGTGGGGGTACTAGGGATTGAACCCAGGGGCACTTTACCACTGAGCTTCATCCATCCTCAGCCCTTTTTTACTTTTTTATTTTGAGACAGGGTCTTGGTGCGTAGAGCCTTGCTAAGTTGCTGAGGCTGGCTTTAAACTTGCAATTCTGCCTCAATTGCCCAGGCTGGCCTTGAACATGGCAATCCTCCTGTTTCAGCCTCTGGAGTCACTGGGATTACAGGCGTGCACCACCATTCCTGGCGGGGCCTGGATATTTGTGTTCTTAGCCAAGAGTCATTATCAGTGGACATGTCCTTGGTGTGCTTGCTCTAAGGTAGGAGCTGGACAGTGAGAACAGGTGGGATTCCATCCCTTTCCTTGAGGACCTAGAACGGCGGTGACCAATGAGTGGGACTATGACAGGAACCGTACAGGGTGTGTTGGGAGAACAGAAAGGGTTCCTGACCCAGACCAGGAGGTAGAGTGGGGAGGAGATCATACCTTTCAGATCTGAGTTGGGACCTTAACACGACACACTCTGTCACTCAGAGACAAGTGGGGGTCCTTGAACTGACTCTTCCAGTCATCCGAAGCGTCCCCACATTCTGTCCCCTCTCGTTGCCAGATCTAAAAATCACACGCAGGACTTGGTCTTCCCTGCACATGCCCCCTCCTCTTTCTATGCCTCCCATTCCCCAGGGGCTGGACATGTTGGCTCCTCTTTAGTTTCTTTCTCGTAAGAAGCAGCTCTAAGCTCCWACTCCAGGCGTGCTTAGATGGATGCCCTTGGTTGAGTAGTGACAGAGTGGAGCCCATGGGGTCAGTGTGCCTCTCACCCTCTGCCTCACTTAAGGCCCTCTCTGAAGAGTTGGCACAGGTAACATGCCACCGGAGAGAATGCCCAAAGGCAAAAACAGCTCAGCTATTACCAGAGCTCGTGGGCCCTCTGGCATCCCAAGGAGGGACTAGCCCATCTAGAGGAGGACTCAGCTCCTTGGTCCTTATCCTTGTGGCCCCTAACTCCTGGGGTCAAAGGCCAGTTAATCCTGCTGGACTTGGCGCTGCTTGGATTCCCTCAAGAAATCCCAGGAAGGGCGGACAAAGGTCTCCATCTTTTGTCAACAGAGGCAAGTTTGGGTGATTAAGCTAAGAAAGCAAAGCCATTTTAGTCCGGGGATTATATCTGAGGTGTGTTGGGAACTAAGAAGTAGCTTGTTTCCTGCAAGGCAAACCAAACCCAGGACGACTCTCAGCTAAGCTCTTGCTTCTCCTTCTGACGGGCCAAATGGCTTGGAGTATAAAAGCCAGTGTTCCCTGTGCTCAGCCTCTGTGTTCACACCTTAGCTCTTGATAAGTGATCTCTAGCTCATGTCTAAGCTCCCCACCATGAGCAAACAAGTTGGCAAGAATCCTTCAGCAGCGGGAGCCAGGGCTTCTCCGGCCACTCGGCCGTGGTGACCGGCAGCAGCAGGATGAGCAGTGTGGCTAGCTCCAGGGGAGCCGGTGGTGGGGCCTCTGGGTTCTGGGGCACAGCAGGTGGCTTTGGTAGTCGCAGCCTCTACAATCTAGGTGGCAACAAGAGTATCTCCTTCAGTGTGGCAGCTGGGGGCTCAAGGGCTGGTGGTTTTGGTGGAGGATATAGCATCTGTGCCAGTGGCTTGGGTGGTGGCTATAGAGGTAGATTTGGGGGTGGATATGGGGGAGGTTTGGTAGAGAAATGGGAGGTGAGTTTGGGGGAGCTGGTAATTTTGGGGCAGCTGGAGGTTTTGGGTCTTGGTGGCTTTGGCCCTGGAAGCTTCTCTGGAGGAATCCAGGAAGTAACTGTTAACCAGAGCTTCCTGCAGCTCCTCAATGTGGAGACTGACCCCCATATTGGGGAAGGGAAGGCCCAGGAGCGTAAGCAGATCAAGACTCTCAACAACAAGTTCGCCTCCTTCATTGACCAGGTGAGGCAAAGCCCAGAGTGGAGGGTTTGGGCTGCTTGGGAGTCAGTGTGGGAAGATGCCACGGATCTGCCAGATTTGGAGCAAGGCCAAGAGCCAGGTACCTTGGCCTTGCTCCTTCCAGGACAGGGAGCAGGCCTCTTTTGCTCTTTTGGCCATTTTTCTAGATGTGAAACAGGGGAAAGAATTCCTGGTCCTAATTCCCTGTAGGAATAAGTTGAGCAGGAATGAGGACAGGCTCCTAACATGCTCTTAGTTTTTTGAAGAATGAGATTTGAGCTACCAAATCAGGACAGTTTACTTTCAATTCCTTTTGAAAAGCAATTGCTTAATATTCGCAACCAGCTGATAACGAAATTTGCATGGATATGGATTTTGGGGCTACCTTTCTGTGAGGAGTATTGGCAATTGGTCCGCTTTCCATGTCATACTGTGCTCAACTCTCCAGAGAAGGACAGCTGTATGAAACTTCTAAGGAAAAGTGAGACTTCATCAACCACATTTTCTCTAGAGTGGTCAAAGAAGCTTACAACTACAGACAATTAAAGTAAGTTTATTCATGCTGATCTTTAGCTGTGTTTTGAAGGATGCCAGTAGACCCAGGGCAGTTCTGGGTTTGGCTCTTAGTATCCAGTTTTTTTTTTTTTTTTTTTTTYWWCTTAAGGTCTGTGAGCTTCAGTTTCCTTACCCACAGAACGGGGATTATAACGTCTCATTTATAGGTGGTTGTGAGGGTTAATGAGACATGTGAAAATAGCAGGCACAGTGTAGGTGCTCAACAAATTCTAGCTCTCCCATTTCTTTCTTTCTTTCTTTTTTTTAAGAGATTTATTCTTAAGTTTTAGGTGGACACTATATCTTACATTTATGTGGTGCTGAGGATTGAACCCAGTGCCTCATGCATGCTAGGTGAGCACTCTACCACTGAGCCACAGCCCCAGCCCCTAGCTCTCCCATTTCTAATCCTCATCCTTCCCAAATTCCAAAGCACAAAGGCAATTATGGATTCAAGAACTGGGTCCACTCACGAGGATGAGATGGGAGGATCRCAAGTTTGAGAACAACCTCAGCAATTTAATGAGGTCCTAAGCAACTTAGTGAGACCCTGTCTCAAAATAAAAAAATAAAAAGGGCTGAGGATGTGGCTCAGTGTAAAGCACCCCTGGGTTAAATCCCCAGGACTAAAAACAAAACAAACAAAAAACAAACGAAACGAAATGAAACCAACCAATCAAACAAAAAAAACTGGGTCCATTCTCCACATTTCCACCCTTGTTTTTTTCTTTTGGCGTTGCTGGGGATTGAATCCAGGGCCTCAGGCATAGAAGGCAAGTATTCTACCACTGAGCCGCATTCCCAGGCCCCCCATTTCTACCATTTGGAGTGGTGGCCCCACTTGTTCAACTCAAGGGGTTCTTTGCCTTTCCCTCTGGTGCAGGTGAGGGTCCTGGAACAGCAAAACAAGGTCCTGGAGAGCAAGTGGGAATTGCTCCAGCAGCAGAGCATAATCTCTGGCTTGGGCCCTCACAGTCTGGCACCTTTCTTTGAATCCTACATCAGCTTCCTGTGCAAGCAGTTGGATTTGTTTCCCGGGGAGAGGGGAGCCTGGAGGGAGACCTGAAGAACATGCAGCATCTGGTGGAAGACTTTATAAAGAAGTAAGGGCCCCAGTGGCGGAGTTTCTCCTTTTTGGGCTTAGCAGGGGCGTGTGCTCCTAATTTGGCATTTCAGCTGTTCCTGACTGCACCTTCAGTCAATGCTCTTGGATGGGTATATCCAGTGAAGCATGACCAGGCAAAACGGGGTGACAGGGTGGGGACTGACACTCCTATGTGCCTGATTATTGTATATTTTTCATTCTCCAGCAGGTCCCCTTCTATACCAGCTCAGATGGACAAAAAAGTCTTCCCAGAATTTAGGGCATTTTAGTACACTTTACTACACTTTACTGTACATAGGAATCACATTGGAAGTTTGCCCAAAATGTYCTAGTTCTTTGTCTTGAGTTCTAGTTCTTGATCATCTGAATCTGTAAGTGTGGGACAGGCCCAGGGGTCTGAGTGCTCCCTTGTTCCTGGGAATTCTACACGGATGGTCTCGGGCTGCCTTCTGTAAAGCACTCTTTCTATGTGTCCTGTCCAATTTCAATGTATCCTATCCCGCTTCTGCAGTGTCAGTCGCCTCCTGCATGTTCCAAGTTGTAGTTCACGCCCTCTGGTCTGTGAGTTTCACATCCTGAGGTCTGTGGGCGCTCAACTGGGCCTCTCAAGGGGGAGAGCTCCAGACATCCCCAGGGGTTAGGACCCACAGGGATGAGTACAGCTTTTCTGGGGAAGCTCCGTTCCAACTATACCACACAAGTTCATGGCCACTCATTGTTTGCAGGTTCTATGCTGGGATCTGGGGATCCAGAGGCACTCACATCTAAATTTCTCAGAAACCTCTTTGCTCCTATAATGGTTCCTGTTCTTTAGTCTTCACAAAATCCATCCTCATGGTGGGAAATTTTAGTCCTTAACAGGCAAGAGTCCATGGCCCTGGGGTATTCAGAAGACATGGATTTATTCATATCCTAAATTCCTACAAGAAGCTATCTAATTAAGGAAAATAGAAACAGAGCAAACAGAGGCAGAAATACCTGGTGGGGAGAAACATCTCTATGGGTTCCCTGTGTATATACTGTGGCTCTGTGAAGTTGATCAACAAACTCAGGCAAGTGACTGGGCTCCTTGATGTCTTCCTTAACTACCCACGCCTCAGCTTATCCCTGGAGTTGGAGAGGGTGAGGCAACACCTTGCACTCTGAGAGGTCTTCAGGCAGGAGTTTCAGGACTCAGTGAAAAATGATAGTGCAGGATCCTTGTTAAAAAATGATTAAGAATTTCAAGATGGCGCCAGCAGGGCATTAAAGCCAGCGTGAGGAGCTTCTGAATCCCAGGTCTTGTATAACTGCACAGGTTGCATGTGCGTGAAGCAGGTTCTGTCGCTGGAGGAGGAGATTCTGCATGAGTGTGTGAGACACTTATTTCTTTTTTTCACTTCTGAAACGTCACTGTCCAAATGACATTCAAAAATGCATTCTGCTGTCTTAGATACCTAATTTAAATAAATATATTAAAAAAAAAAGAAGGTAGGCAAGTGGGAGGACCAGATTCAGGCTTCCTGCTTCCCCCTCTGTTGTGGGCGGGGCTTACATTTTTCATTACATTTTTAGAAATATTTGATTAAGGAAGCTGCTCTGAGTACATTGCTGGTGGGGAGGACAATTTCATATCCACTGTGACTAATGAGCTGGTTAGTAATGTGAACTAAAAGTGCATGGGTACCCTGAGGGATATTAATAACCACAATCAACTATAGCTTAATTAAGCTAGTCATTACAAAGATGAAGTAGTTAAAATATCCATTTTTATTCAGGAGACTGGGTTTTTGGCACACCATATAACCCAAATCACACACATGCTAGGTAAATATGATTTTTCTATCCTAAAACTAGAAGGTTACTCTAATCAGCTAATATAGTTTGTATTTTGTTACAACATTAGGTTTGACTGGTCAAAGCAATTGAAAGGAAAAAAACGACTTTGATTTTCTTTCTTTTAAAAGGGAAGCTGAGAAGTCATACTTGGAACGAGGAAGAGAGACAAGGGCTTGGAAAGCGCGGAGGGTGGGAGGGGACCGGGTCAGTCCTCAGGTTTCTGACTCTTTCTTTCAGGACATGGATGCAGCTTACATGAGCCAGAAGGAGCTAACGTGGGCTGCCTGACAGAGGAAGTCAACTTCCCGAGGACCCTCTGCGAAACGGTGATTGATGATTCCTTTGTTTGCTAAGCTCCAGAGACAGCCTGTTGTCATCTTCCCTGTGATAAYTCTGGGGGATGGCCCAGGGGCAGGACACACTACCAAAACCTGCCACAGGGCTCAGAACTCAGCTCTGTTTCAACCAGGAAAGGTTAACTTAGCTGTTCCCGCCTGCACGGACCTGCCCATGGTCGTGGTCCAAGGCCTCTCTCCATCTCAGCCCTTTTTACTCTACACCTTCCCTCTGGCTCTGGTCCAGTATCGCAGCCAGATTCTTCATAACACCCCTCCTTACTGTGATCCCACGCAGACCCATCCAGCAAGGCTTGCTGGCTGATGCTTTCAGGCTGACAACCTGACTCTATTTACATATTGTCTTTTTGTTTTAGCCTTGTTGTCTGGCATCCTTTATTATAGTCCGACCTGAAATATAAGCTTATTTTTCTAGCTGTCCCACCCCCTATCTACATCTTTGGGGTATCTCTGTTGGTAGAGGACTCCCAGCATCCTCTGGGGTCAGGGTTCATTCATGTTCCCTACAGGACCTGTCCCAGATGCACAGCCATGTCAGTGACATGTCTGTGGTCCTCTCCATGGACAAGAACTGCAAATTGGACCTGGACAGTCTCATTGTTGAGGTCTGCACCCAGTACAAGATTGCCCAGAGGAACAAGGCTGAGGCTGAGGCCCTGTACCAGACTGTGGCAGACCATCTCGCACGTGACTGAGTTTCCTCCCTGGCTGGGTGTGAGGCACTCAGTCACTTTTAACATGGCAGAGCTTTCCCCACCCTTCTTGGGTTTGAGGGCTTGTCCGTGTGGAGGCATGTCTCACCACTGCCCCAAAGATCCAATCATTGCACTTGACCTTGCAACACTGCCCCCTTTGACCTTCATTGGATGGGATTTTCCCCAGAATTCTTTGTTCCCCAATAAAAGCCCTCTCCCTAGAGTGCTCGCTCTCTCGCTCTCTCGCTCTCTCAATAGCTTCTTCAGTGAAACCTCGCTGCTCCCTGGGGAGCTTGAGGCTGAGGGTTCGAGGAGCCGTCCTGGAGTTGGTTTAAAGATAACTGTGTGTCTGTGTCTTTAATTTAAAATCCCTGAGGATTTTCCTGCGTGACCAAACCGTTCCTGTCTGCGTTGGCAGCAGACTAAGCCAGACCAAGGTGGGAACCCTCACCCATTCCCAAACTCTAGTTTTAGGTCCCTATGACTGTCATCAAGAGTATGACAAGATGTTGTAAGGCTTACATTATCACTTTCTCCTCTGTCACCTTGGGGAGCTGCAGAGCACAGCTGGCTGGCATGGGAATTACCTGAAGGGCACCAAGAGCGAGATCATGGAGCTCAACAGGATGATCCAGAGGCTGCAGGCAGACATTGAGGACATCAAGAAGCAGGGRGTGGGGGTGGGGGTCCAGGCTCAAAGATGTGATCCTGGAGGTTTTTGGAGTTTTGGGGAGAAAAGGAAGTACCATCTGGACTCCTTTGCTACACACTCTCATGGTGTCTTATGGCATAGTCTCTGGGAGCCTTTCTTCTCCCAGATGTTCCTCCTGGAGGCTGGGCTTCTTGTAGTGCCCCCTAAGGAGGAATGGTTGCCCATTTTCGTTTGATCAGCAAATCTTCCACTGCAATATTGTCTTTAAATACTAAGTTCTCAGCAGGCTCTGCCTTCTGTGGAGCTACTTATAATATTCCTTACATAACCTCTATGGCATCTTTGTATTCAGAATAAAGTGATTAAGCAAGGGAGGTTTTAACAGTCCTGAAAAAAAAAAAGTCAGTAACTAATCAGACCATTACTACCTTTGCCAGCCTAGGAAAGCAAATCAGTGTTCTATTTCTCCATGAGTCATGAGTTGATTTCAATGGGCCAAGAATGAATTAACCAATTGTAAAACTGACTTGTTTTCAAAGCATGCTCCTTGGGATTTCTAAGGCAGGGGAAGGAGGAATGCTGGATGAGGGAAAGTAAACAATCAGGTATTTGTTTCCTGGTCACTATGCTAATTCATCTTCTACCTCCTCTTGCCCCAGAATGCCAAAGGCATTCATTGCAGAAGCTGAGGAGCATGGGGAATTGGCCCTCAAGGATGCTAATGCCAAGCTCCAAGACTTGCAGGCTGTCCTACAGAAGGCCAAGGATGACCTGTTCCAGCTGCAGCATGACTACCAGGAGCTGATGAATGTCAAGCTGGCCCTGGACATGGAGATTGCCACCTTCTGCAAGCTGCTGGAGGGTGAGGAGTGCAGGTGAGTATTCTCCAGATAGGACTTTAGAATAACCTTTAGTGAAAGGAAAGGGGACAAGATTAGGTGAGAACAATTCAGACAATGGGCAAGGAGTCTCCTGAACAAGAGTGAAGAATGGAAGTCTCATTCTATTTCATCAGTCATTATCATCTAATTCTCCAATGTATCATGGACATCAGTATTGAAGTACATACTTCTATTGATCTTCACTGTGTGCAAAGTGTGGGGGAAAGTGCTCTGGGATTATGACAAAGGTTATAGACCAGGGCTGTCCACTGGTACTTTCTAGAATATAAAAATATTCTGTACCTGTACTATCCACTTGGAGATTTCAAATGTGGCCAGCACAACTAAGGAGCTGAATTTTACATTTAATTTTAATTAATTTAAGCAGCTTCATGTGATTAATGGCTACCATATTGGACAGTTCAGTATGGATAGTCCTGCAACCCCATCTCTGAAGCTGAGTCTACATGGGGGAGAGATTGATACATATAGATTCTTGACATATAACATACATTGGCAGGTAAATCTTAGTGGATATCACCTGTGAGGGTTAGGTTGGGAATACAGGGATATTTCTGCTGACCCTCTGCCTATATTCAGAGCCTCAGTCTTCAGGAAGCTCCCAGTCTGTTGGAGGAAGTAGGACCAAAGTATGAGGAAAAAAAGTCTCTATGGGAAGTCTCTATGGGAAGGAGCGAGAGTAAAGATGAGTTAAGTGTACTAAGAGATGAATGAGGAGGGAGTAGTTGATACCAGAAGCACACAGTGGCAAGGTGCACAAGCACATCCATGTCTGCTCAGATATGTGACAGGTCTGCTCCATGAATAAGAACAAGCTCTTGAACAGGAGCAGTGTGGGTGGGACATTATCAAATTTATCATGCATTGGGTGATGGCCCCTCTCATATTTTCTCTGCTCCGAACAACTGTCAGTTCTACACTGCCCTTCCCCATCATCTYACTAGGGCTCCATGGGGAAGACTTCTGGGAAGAGGAAAATTGAAAATGGTCTTAGCAGGGGTGAGAGATGAGGACTAATCAAGTGGTGGAACTAATCAAGTGAGGGTTGGTAGTTTGCTGGGAATAAATCTTTGGGGCTAAGGGAAAGAGGGTGGGAAGATGAAAATATAGAATATGGTTGTTGGGGATACTGCAAGTCTCAGCCCTCTTTTCTGGGGAGATAAGGTCTTGGAAACAGATTGGGAATAATCTTTCCTCTCCTGGGAACTTGATCCCTAGTGGGACACATGGGAAGAGGGCTCCCAAGGATATGAGCTCCAAGTTGTTTGGCTATTGACTTTTTGCTCAAATAAATCATTTCTTCTCCCTTTTCAGGATGACTGGAGAGTGTCAGAATACTGTAAGCATTTGTAAGTACCACATTCAAAAATATCCTTCCTGGGTTGTAAAATGGGCATCTGGAAACATTCTCATGGACTGATCTTTAGGCAAGAGGGCCTGACTCACCCACAGGGTCTTGGCCATGACCATACTCTATGCTCCTTGTGTAAGCTGGCAGCATCTCAGGCCAAAGTTCAAACCTTGTGGTTATAGGGTGTCCCCTAGGTTGGAGAACAAAAGATTTCTGTGGGTACTTCTGGTTCCTGTTCATGGACAAGGGGACCAGAGAGCCAGACTCACTATTGTTTGCAAACAGAGGACTGAGAGAAGCTGAACATCTTCTTCAAAGTCACACAGCTAGGCAGGGGTGGGTCTGAAATAGCTGGGCCTCCAGCTTCCAAGGCCTTTCTCCTGAATTGAGAGTCTGTTCTCCCTTAGTGGTGGTCAACAATGTCACCAGCACAAGCAGCACTCTGGAAGTGTCCATGGAGGCTTCAGTGAGTTCAGTGGCTGCTGCAGCAGTGGTTCCAGGGATAGCAGCTGTGGAGGGGTCAGCAGTGCCTTTGGCAGAGGGGCAGGAGCAACAGCAGGGTCTACCAGAGTGGTAGCAGTGGAGTGGACTGGCTGTGGAGACAGCAGTTCCATGGGGCAGAGTGGAATGGGCTTCAGCTCTGAAAGCACCAATATCTCTGCAGGCCATGGCTACACCCCTGACAGTTGGGGCAGTACCAGTGTCCCATTCTCCTGGCCATCCAGCTCCAGCCAGCAATTCTCCAAGTCTCCATCCCTGCCTGCTGCCCTCCCAGCCTGCAAATCACTTCCCACACTTTGCCTGGGGTCAACAGGTACCTATGACTCAACCCCACTTTCCCTCAAGTCCCCTGGAGAAGGGGCTTTTCCATCTCCATCTCTATCTTCATCTCCATCTCCACCTCCACCTCCAAGTCCTCTTCTAGGCCAGGGAGATCTAGTTATAGTTTGGGATGATGCTGTCTCTGGAAGATTCCCTGACTTGGCACAGCAACAATTGAAGCCTGAGCAACACCTGAGCCTGTCCGGGCCATCCAGCCTGGCCTACTCCCACTCCACCACTTTCCTCTCTCATGAGGAGTTGGTGGTCTGAGGTCAGTGGCTGCTGCAGCAGTGGGTGCATGTCAGTGGTGCATGTCAGCACCACCTGAGAAGGACAGGGCAGTGGGGTCGGAGCTTGAGCTAGAAGGTCAACATCTTCAGACTGTGGGTTCTCAGGGAGCCCTCTCCATGTCTAGTCATCACATCCCTACTCAACTCTATCCCCTTAGTACCTTGAGCCAAGGATCCTCTGGTGATGATTATGTTGTACTTCCTCTTCTCAATAAATTGTGTTGAATTTCACATTCTGTTGTTTGCCTTTCACTCAAGGAATATAGAGCAGACCAAGAACCAAAAGTGGAGGGAAATCAGGCATGAGGGTGCTCTTCCAGAAGTTTGGTAATGGGAATAAAAGACACCCAATAACCTTGGCTTCTCCTATATCCACTAGGTTGGGTTCTTGTGACAGGTCCAGCTGAGAGTATGGATGTTGTTGAAGTGAGGTCCTTCCCCTTCCTAGGGAGGTCATTTCATCCATCTTCTAGCTGTTGGATAGGCTCCATAATCCAATATTGGAAGTAGAGGTTTCTGTATAAAGAGAATGGATTCCACTGGAATTTCAACTCCTTTGCTCCTCTTGACTTCAGCACCCCAAACAAATTCTCCATCTGCAACTACAGGTCCTAGTAACTGAAGGAACCTAACACTCTCTTTTCCCTACACAGTTTCTGAGACCAAAGAATGAACAAATGAAGAGTCATATTGTCTTTATGGCCAACTAATATTAGAGAATGTGATAAGTCACACACCTTTGGACAACGGGTTTCCTGTTACAGGACTTTAGGATTTGGCCAGATTTCCCACATGGCTGAGGAAGCACAGGGCCACCAAGGACTTCTCTATGGGATCAGATACCTCATGGTAAATAGGATAGCAAAACTTAAGCTTGCTATGGACAGCCAGACCCTAACGGATACAGGAGTATAGCTCTGCATGCTCACTCATCAGGTAAGAGAGAGGGTGGAACTGTTACAGTAGCTCACTCCTGATGGTTGTAAAATTAGAAATGGGGAAGATGCTTGACTGCCTTTCTACCCAAACTTCCCAGCTGTTCTCAGAAAGCTAAACCCAACCCAGGATTAATGGAGCAGCCACAAAGAGAAATCCAGGAAAWCAAGAGCTTCAGAGTGATGACATTTAAAGTTTGTGTTTCTTTCCTTATCCCCATATCCAATCCCATCTGCATGCCTTTGAGCATGATAAACTATTGGTTTGTAAGTCAYTTTAGATCATGGATTATCCCCAGAAGTCATATTAGGGCTAGACTAATGAGAGGACTTCTGTACATCTGTCTGATGTCTAGGGAGCCTGACCTTCCTATTCCTAAGCCTGCAATGGACCTTATCTCACCCCATCTGATATAAAAGTCAAGATCTCAAGATGTGGAGAAGGAGACATTTTAGAGTTTCTACACATCAGCATCCAATAAGGCCTTGCTCATCTTTTCAAGGCTTACAAGCAAGAAGCAGTTCCTTTTTTACCTTTGCCACTTATCTTTGGCACAGGTTTGGTACTTTGGGAGTATGGGCAGGCAGTTCTAGATTTCACCTCTCATTACTCCTTTAGAGATATTGCAAGAAACATCACCAACCCCCAGGAAAACCTGCTTGGAGCTCTGCTCCATGTKCTGCCTAACTCAACAGAAAGGGATACACTGTCCTGCCTCAACCCAACTTTCATGAGATGAGAGCAAGAGGGTTTGGGGACAGTTGCTTGTCTCTTTATCCATTTGCTCCATATGTCAAGACCTCAGTCCTGGGTGTTATCTTAGGGCCCTGCAGAAGGGATGGGGAAACCAGTGACATTTTGGTGATCAATTAAAAGAATAAATAGAGATTTTATAAGAGAGGAAGACTCTATTCCTGCTGACCTCAGAGAAAGATGGGATAGGTCACACTTCAAAGCAGGACAAAGGTGAACTGTTGACTTTTTKGTGAACCATTGTGGGGAGGGATGGTGAAAGGGGCTAACAAGGAAGGTTGTAAAAGACTGGAAACTACTTGGAACTTTGAGAAGGATCAATCAAGAACAACATGTTGGAGAGGAAGCCTGGGACAGGCCTAGGAAGAAAGAGTCTGGAAAARGGCCAATTCCCAGAACTCCTGGATCAGCATCATATACCATGTTCTGGACACAGTGGGGATGAACCTACATCCAGTGGAGTAGTATCACAGAAACTTCCAGGGTGAGGGCATTGTGTCTGAGGCCAGGCTAGGGGTTGGGGAGGATGGAATACAGTCTGTGTGAGACTGGTAATCCTGAGCTTTCTCAGCCTTGCAGAATTTCTTAAATCCATTCTCCATTTAAAGACAGAACTGGGAGCAGAGCATGGTAACACATGCCTCTAATCCCAGTGGCTCAGGAGGATGAGGTAGGAGGCTCAAGAGTTCAAAGCCAGTCTCAGMAACTAAGTGAGGTCCTAAGCAACTCAAAATATAAAAAGTGTGGCCCAGTGGTCAAGTGCCCCTGGGTTCAATTTTGGGTACCAAAACAAACACAGCAACAACAACAACAAAACAGAACAGAGAAAGCTCTTTATCTTTGAAGACAGCCAAGATAGGTAGAATAAGTATTTTACTGGTGGAATGGCCAGAGGGGTGACAAATTCCTTCCCAAATTGATACTTGAAATCCTCCCAGCTCTCTCTTCAGAGTTAAACAACCCATCTTCTAATACCAACAGCTTCTTTATTTTTCCATTCTGTGTCCTTTATTATCTTCTACTTTTCTCTCTCTCTTTTAAAAAATATTTCCCTGGATTATAAAAGCAGCATGTACTTAAAGCAAAAATGAATAAAATTTAGCAAAAAAAAAAAAAGATTTTTCCTATAATTCTATCACCCCATGCTGTTTTCCTACATTCATTCATGTGTATTCACATACAGAGATATGTACATGTGCATATACATTAAAGAGTAACATCTCACAAAATATACCGCTTTCTGCTATTTTTGTGRTGCTGGGAACTGAATCCAGAGCCTCACACACATACTAGGCAAGTGCTCTACCTCTGACTTGCACCACCAACCCCCAACTTGATTTTTTTGGGTGCCTAATCTACTGTGCTATTACTATTATTCATTTAGTCATTCAGCAACTAGACTGAGTGCCTATAATTCTCCAGACACTGCACCAGGCCCAAGGATGGAGATAAAAGCACATGTAGTTTTTGCCCTCGTAGAATTYACAGGGAGCATGAAAGAAATTTACCAAATTACATATTTCCATATTAATATACATGGAAACCATCATTTTTTCCAGTACAGAAAATTATTCTTAAAAATTATAAAAACAAAAACAAAAGTGCATATTGGGAATTAAACTATGGTATTTTTCCTTCTTTCTGAAAGTGGGACATAAATGTTCTACCAAGTATTTTACTAAACTAAAGCCTGACAGGTGATCATTAAAGCTCTTTGCTACCTCCTCCTCTCAAATTGAGCTAGTGCAGTGGAATAGCTTTCCTTTTTTGGTAGGAGAGTTTTTGACAGAAAGAAGGATAGAGTTGGAACTGCAGAGTTTGAAGGAACACTTTCTTAGCAAACTCACCCCAACCCAACTGAAGCCCTAACAAATTGATTTATAAAATGCTCACCATCTCTAGCAGTCAGAGAAATGCAAATCAAAACYACCCTAAGATACCATCTCACTCCAATGAGATTGGCARCCATTATGAAGTCAAACAACAATAAGTGCTGGCGAGGATGTGGGGAAAAGAGTACACTTGTACATTTCTGGTGGGACTGCAAATTGGTGCAGCCAATACGGAAAGCAGTATGGAGATTCCTGGGAAAGCTGGGAATGGAACCACCATTTGACCCAGCTATTGCCTTTCTCGGTCTATTCCCTGAGGACCTTAAAAGAGCATACTATAGGGATACTGCCACATCAATGGTCATAGCAGCACAATTCACAATAGCTAGACTCTGGAATCAACCTATATGYCCTTCAATAGATGAATGGATAAAAAAATGTGGCATTTATACACTATGGAGTATTATGCAGCACTAAAAAACGACAAAATCATGGATTTTGCAGGGAAATGGATGGCATTAGAGCAGATTATGCTAAGTGAAGCTAGCCAATCCCTAAAAAACAAATGCCAAATGTCTTCTTTGATATAAAGAGAGCAACTAAGAACAGAACAGGGAGGAAGAGCATGAGGAAAAGATTAACATTAAACAGAGACGAGTGGGGTGGGAGAAAGGGAGAGAGAAGGGAAACTGTATGGAAATGGAAGGAGACCCTCAATGTTACACAAAATTACATATAAGAGGTTGTGAAGGGAAAGGGGGGAAAGCAACAAGGGAGAGAATTGAATAACAGCAGATGGGGTAGAGAGGGAAGATGAGAGGGAAGGGGAGGGGGATTGTAGGGGATAGGAAAGGTAGCAGAATAMAACAGACACTAATATGGYATTATGTAAAAATGTGGATGTGTAACCGATGTGATTCTGCAACTTGTATTTGGGGTAAAAA